CGCAGCCGCCTGCCGAGCAATCGGCGCCTCCACACACACACACACTCCGGCCAGGGCGCAGCGGGGAGCGCCGAGCTAGCGAACGCCGGTGGAGGGGGAAGGAGATGGGGGCCGCCATGACAGGGCGCGAGGCCTAGACTGGGGCGCGAGGCCCAAGATGCCCCAGGCCCAGGATACGGAGCCACGTCCGGGCCCCCGGCTGCCCTGCAGTGTCCCCCGGTCATGATGTCCCCACATGTTGCATTGCCACAACCATCCTTGTCAAAATTTGGGGCACARCACTGGGTTTTTGGTCAAATTGCTGCGCCCCAAAGTGGGGAAATCATGAGTAGTTGGCGGTGATGAGGGTCTTCGCCGAGCAAGGAGCGCACAAAACGCAAAAACGGGGCCTTTAACGCACCCCGGCAACAGCAACRCCATCTCCACAAACCCCATCTTCCTCTCAAGGAGGAAAACCCAAGTGACGGGCCCCATTTTAGGCAAAACTACCCCAAAACAAGAGCAAGAACCTCACCGTGAATTGCCAACCACCGCCACAAGACCCTTAGACACATGGGGCGGGTAACAAGCGTGGTGCAAAAACCCCCGTTGACGGGGAGAAGATCCAAATCCAAAGCTTCCATTTCCACACCGAATCCAGAACAGGGCAGCAATTCCAGCTGGAAAATCCCACAGGTCACCCCAAACCCCAAGAGGGTTGGGGACAGGGGAGAGTCCTGCAAAAGCCGCAGCTACAACTGCACCGATCCCAGCTTTTTTAGGGGCCAGATTTCGGAGGTTGGAATCCCTACCTGCCTTCCCATCGGGAGACCACGCTCCTCAGGATCCATTTCCAACGATGGATGAGGCGGCTTCCGATAGGACAAAAATTAGAAAGGATATTGGGCCAAATCTTGACATTTTGGGAGGTTTCCAAACACGTGTGTCGTTGCGGATAGCTTTGAGGTGCCTGGAGGACATTGGGTCCCCTATGGATCRCGACTGCCAATGACAGATCCCGACAAGGAATCTCAGCCAAACTGCTCCCGGGACAAGGGAGAGAAGATCCTCAGAGCGGCCRACCTCCAATGCACACAAAAAGAGCCCGATTTGGACAAGTCACTGCTGTAACCTGGATGGCCCGCTGGGCAGACGGGGCCACTTTGAAGCCACGGGTTATACTCAAGTTTGAGCCACGATCTGGGGAAAAAAGCCTCCAAATCAGGGCCAAATCTCTCTCAGAAAGATACCAGTCTCTCAAAACCCAGCTCCTGAAGGCACTACGGAAAGGGTCAGCTTGGTCACGTTGGTTGCCCAGATGGAAGACCAAGAGTGGGGTTAGCGACCATCTTGCCATGAAAAAAGCTGCCCTGAAAGACCCGGAGGAGCGATTTTGGGGCAACCTAGGGCAGTTATAGGGGAGTAACAGGGGAAACAGAGCTCAAAATCAGGCTAAAAATCGTCCCTTGGCTCGACCGCGGTGCTGCCCACCATGAGAAATCTTGGGGGAGCAAGAGAGGGGATTACGGAGGGCGGCAACGTGCGCGATTCCCCGTGCGGGGATGGGCGGGAAGCAGAGCGGGAACTTCCGAGCAAGCTGGAACTCAAGAAGGGAATCAGAAAGGGCGGAAAATAGGTCAAGGCCGTGGGTGAGGGAAATCAGAAGGGCTAAAGCAAAAGGAGGTCATCGCACCATGCCCCTTCATCTACAAGGTCCTCTGAGCACGTTGACCTGCGAAGAGAGGTGGTGGCATCTCCKGCCTGCCCCGACTCAGCTGGAGATGACCCCAAGGAGCTGGCCTTGACTTTGAAGTTGGCCTCGCTCTGAGCTGGGGTCAGATGCGGAGCTGCGAAACCCTCTCCCAAGACCGTCCGCAGCCAACACGGCCACCGCGGGACACACGGAGGCTTCTCCGCAAGAGGCAGAGCTCAAGGCCACGCTCTACAAAGCCTGGAAGGTTTGAATTCCTTCTCCTGCCCTTGGTGGAGAATCGGCCTCGATTAACCAGAAGCAGCAAAACTCAGAGTGGAAACAAGAGTTCAGCTACGCCGAGACCTGCGCTCCCGAATCATAGCATCGAGAAAGCAGCAAAATACATAAAAAAATCTGTAGAAAAATCGACAAGAAACATCCTCTTCCAGCCTCAAAGTGACCAGACCTGCAGAGGGGTGGGGAGAAGGAGGCGAAACTAAAGCTCAAGACGGGGGACAGAGGGTTTTCAGATCAAAGCTGATGCCCTTGCGGCTCATTTTTTGAGCTCTCGATTCTTATATTCTACTCCTTTATTTTTTCTTCATTAGTTGCCCCCTAAAGCGAGCTCTGTCTTCTCCACATCCCCTTTTGAGCTCCATTCCAGCCGGGATGCTTTGGTCGGGATTGGGTCCAGCACCTGGAAAACGAGATAAAAACCTATGCCGGTCCTTGCAGAGAAAGGGGGAAAAAAATGGAAATTGAGGAATTGCAGAATCTCCTCTTTAACGAGATTTCCGTGGCTGTCTCATCCTCAGAAGGAGTCACAACTGGGTGACCTAGAAATTATTGTCAGGTTGGATGTGGATGCTGCTCAGCAGCTGAATGCAAGGAGTGGATACRAAAGGGAAGCAGGGGATGGGGAGCTCAGCTTCTGAGCTCTCCTAAAGCTGCTCCAAATTAGGCTTTTCTTAACATTAACATCATTGGCAGGTGATAAATTGCCTCCTCTGAGTGGCTGGAGAGGCAGCTTAGACTTGTTAATGGAAGGCTCGGAGAACGCGACGTGTGGGATGGACTGCAGGACAACCTGACGTGGTCTGAGCAGCTCCAAYGCTCAGGGCGACGTGATTAGGCGCTCAGAAGAGCCCCAAATCCCATCAGGATCCTCCCAGGCAGCACCTAAGGCAAGGGCTGGATGGGAGAATGAGTAATGAGTTCCACCAAGGTCAACTACTGAAAGGACACAGCATCTGTTGGGTTTGTAGGAGACCCTTCACCCCTCCAACCTTCTTTTTGAGGTTCATCAGCTCCAAGACACGTCTCCATGTGTAGACACCTCCCAAAAGGTCACTGTTTTGGTAGGTGCTGGGCTCACAGGAGGGTTCAGCTGGTTCCTCACCACCTTCCCATTGGCTTCCCATTCCCGGTAGGGAGCAGGAGACGGCACCAGAGCTCATGAACCGCGTCCTTCGGACAGGTTTGCATCGGGAATGATCCTGCAGCACCATCAAGTGGAGTTTTATTCCAAAAAAAAGGTTACAAATAATTTCTAGGTCATGGTCTAAAGAGCAGGACGATGCTCTTGAGCTAAAGGAGGGTCTCGATGTTGACAAAATCTAAGCCTAGCAGAAAACCTTGAGTCTTGGGGCAGCAAAGGGACATTAAACCTGCCGAGAGGGAGAAGAAAAACCAGAGGATGAAGCCACCAGGGTCAGCAGAAACCATCCCAGGAAGCAGGCTGGAAAAGGAGGCTGTTTCGGGGCCGGATCTCATTGCCTCAGAGCTCCCGGCGCCTGCCAAGAGGAGCCACGTGTTGTCCGAGGCGGCTGCCAAGAAGGTCGGGAGCAGGAGAGCCGCAAAGAGGCTCCGTCGGGAGCAGGGCCAGGGGGGAGGGAGGCGCCGGCGGCAGCCGCAAGGGCCGGGAGGAAGCGACGGGAGAAGCGCCTGGAGCGGCGGCCACCAGCCCGGGATGGAGGCCAGCTGAAGAGCAACACTTCCTGGAGGACTCGGTGCTCCGAGGTTGAGGAGCAGTGCTTCCCAAAGAACTCATGGGTGCTCCGAGGTCAGAACACAAGAAGGAAGCAGAAGAGCAGAGGATGTCGGCAGCCGCAACGGCCAGGAGGGAGCTACGGGAGAAGCGCCCGGAGCGGAGGCCACCAGCCCGAGATGGAGGCCAGTTGAAGAGTGGCGCTTCCCGAAGAACTCATGGGTGCTCCAAGGTTGAGGAGCGGCGCTTCCCAAAGGATTCGTGGGTTCTCCAAGGTCAGAATGCAAGAAGGAAGCAGGAGAAGAGCAGAGGATGTCACATCCATTTAGGATGGACAAGCAACGATGGACAAGYGACGATGGGCTGGGAGGGCAGTAAAGGCTCCACCAGAGACAGGACGGCCTAGGTTAAGGTTGCGTTAGACACAACAGACCTCAAGCAAMAGGAGGACAACAGGAGAACCCGGAGGAGCAACCGATTTGGGGCAATTTACCACTTGTTTGGCACCAGGAACAAGAGTTAAATAAATACGTGCAACGCTCTTGAGAAAATGATTTGAAATAAGGGGTTGCGACAGACGTATCGAGCGGCCGGCCGAGAGCCGGGCCTTTCCTCTTGGCTTTTCCCAATGTTCCCATTTTCCTGGTGGGCTCTCCCAAAGACGCTGTTCATAAGGGAATCCGGAGCGAGCGCGGTTCTAAATCTGAGCGCGGTTCTAAATCCGAGCACGGTTCTAAATCCAAATCYGACTCCTGGGTAGAGGAGAGGGATGGTTCGAGCTCCAGCTCTGCTTCCCAAGCCRCCCTTCACGCTGGATTTCAAGGAGAAGGGGGTGACATTTGGGGAATCTGGGGGGCTCCTTTTCTCAGGGAAATGCCGGCACGACCATCCCGATAAGAAACATATGGGTGGGAAGTGGGAACTAAAGAGCTTTTCCCACCCTTCCCAGGAACTTGGCCACCTTTTCCGCGTCCAACCAAGTGGTGGAGATATCTCACCACACATCAAACCCACCCAACATCCCACAAAGCAGTGGAGCCTTCTCAGAAGACATTCAGCCCATCCAACGTCCCACCAAGCGGTGGAGCCATCTCAGAAGACRTCCAACCCACCAGATGTCCATCCAGCTACTGGAGACAGCTAAACCAGCACCCGGTTCTGCCCATTAAACCATTCCTTGGAAACATGCCCCCTTCCACCAAGATTCTACTCAACGGGAGCAGCAGAGGAGCCAGTTTTGGGGGTTATCATGAGGTTATCAAGATCAGTTCTTTCCGCACACATCCAACCAAGTGGCAGAGATATCTCACCACACATCCAACYCACCCAACMTCCCACCAMSYRGTGGAGCCATCTCAGAAGRCATTCAACCCACCCAACGTCCCACCAAGTGGTGGAGGRAGSCAAACCAGCACCCAGTTCTGYCCATTAAACAATTCCTTGGAAACMCCCCCCTTCCACCAAGGTTCTACTCAACGGGAGCAGCAGAGGAGCCAGTTTTGGGGGTTATCATGAGGTTATCAAGATCAGTTCTTTCCRCACACATCCAGCCAAGTGGCAGAGATATCTCACTACACATCCAACTCACCCAACATCCCACCAAGTGGTGGARGAAGCCAAACCAGCACCCAGTTCTGCCCATTAAACCATTCCTTGGAAACACGCCCCCTTCCACCAAGGTTCTACTCAACGGGAGCAGCAGAGGAGCCAGTTTTGAGGGTCACCAACACGTTTCTCRCTCGCCCAAGGCGCTCGGGGGCCACTCACCATCTCGGTAGGGCTGCAAGGACTCGTCTCCCCAAGCCGACGGGAACGGGGACAGCGGCGAGCGGGGGACGCCGCACTCGGACCCGGGCGCCACGTTCTTGCGGGGCACGAAGACCCCCGCGTCCCTCTCGCGGCCCGGGGACGAAGGCTCCGCCGCGGCCGCCGCCGCCGCCGCCTGCAGCACGGGGTGCTCAGCCGAGTTGGCCAGCAGCTCCTTGAGGATGTTGATGGGCGAGATGGTGAGCTCCCAGTTGGTGATGCCGAAGTCCCGCAGGTGGGCCCTGGCGTGGCTGGAGAGGCCGGCGCGCGTGTCGAAGCCGGCGCCGCAGAACTCGCACCGCATGAGGCTGAAGGTGCTCGGGTCGAAGTTGGCCACTGCGGGGGAAGAGGCCGGAGGCCGCTGAGCGCCCAGAGGGCTCCGCGAGGGGCACCCGCCGCCGCCGGCCGCCCCTCGGCCCCGCGAGGCGCCCGCCGCCGCGGGCGCATACGTACCCAAGGTCGGCGGGAGGAGCGGAGCCCGCCGCGTAAAGCAAGGGAAAGAGAAAGCACGGCGAATTGAATACATACTACCTTTTTTCTTCTTCTTTTGGAAGGAAAATTTTTGCTCTATAGCCTTGACTTCCTCCGCCGAGATGAAGTGGCGGACGTTGTAGCTCACGCCCACCCTGTTGAGGTGGCCCCGCACGTGGTTGGCCAAGCCGATGCCGTTGTGGAACCTGTCGGGGCAATAGGGGCATTTCCGCTCCTCGTTCTTCAGCATGGGCGAGTCGGAGTCCAAGAGGTCGTCRAGCTCCAGGGGCCCCTCCAAGGGAGCGTCCAACAGGAGCATGTCCAACGGGAGCGGCTCCTCCAGCAGGAAGTCCCGCGGCGGTGGCGCCGCCGCTCTCTTCTTGTASGGCTTCCCCCGGGGCCGCTTGGGGGCTTTGGGGTGCGGGTTGACCTGCTCGAGGAGCACGATGGGCACCATCATCCGCAGCTGCTGCTGCTGCTCCTCGGACGCGATGGAAGAGTCCGTGGCTTTCAAGGTGTCTCTGAACGTCCTCTTGAGGTCCAAGGCAGCTTGGGGGACGGCGACGGGCTTCACGCCCCTGTTCTGGGCCAAGTCGCCTCCCGCCGTTGCGGGGAGCATCTCCCCCGCGCTCCCGGTGTCGTTGGCCACCATCCACGCGTGCCCAAGCTCCTCCAGGCCGCCGGGGTGGTAGCCGAGAGCGTCGCCGTCGGCCTCAACGTGCCGGGCCGCCGCTCTCCTCTTCAGCTGCTGCAGGGCCAAGTGGGAATAGGCCTTGGGCRCCGGCAGCCCCGCGAGGCCCAGGGCTTTGTGGGGCGCCGCGTAGGGCGCTCTCTTCCTGGCGTGGAAGCCGCCCGCGTGGTAGCCCTTCTTGGTGGCCCCGTTGCTCCTGTCGAGCCGCGGGCGGGCCAAGGCGAAGGCGGGGAGGACGTCGTAGCGYGCGGCGCCCTCGCGGCGCGCCGGGCCCCCGGGGCGCTCCGCTCGGCCCAAGTAATCGGCCTCGGCGAAGCGGCCCGGCCGCGCGGGGCTGTAGGCGTCGCGGCTCGGGCCCGGTTGGTTGGGGTCCTCCTCGAAGGCCTCGGCGTCCCAGGCGAGGGGGCAATGGGCGTATTTGAGGTGCTCCTTGAGGACGGCCTCGTCCGGGGCCGGGAAGCCGCAGAGGGCGCAGGCGTAGAGCCCCGGGAGAGGGGCCCCCGAGCCCCCGGGGACCGGCAGGGCCACGTGCTCGGTGGCCTTGAAGGGCCCGTAGGCGCCCATGGGCGCCGGGCCGTCGCGCACCTCGCCRCCGTAGAGGCCGGCGCCCTTGGCGCCTTGGTCCTTCCTCTCCTTGACGTGCATCTTGGCGTGCTGCACGAAGATCTTGGAGGAGTTGGTGCCGAAGACGCACTTGGGGCACTGGAGCCGGGCGGCGCGGCCCTCGTCCGGGAACTCGTTGAGCTTCTGGATCTCCTCGATGATCTTCTCCCGGGACTCCTGGTGGAGCCTCTTGTGCTGCTCCAGCGCCGCGGCCTCGCCGAAGGCCCACCCGCACTCGTTGCAGCACAGCTGGCCCTGGCCTCCGCGCGCGGCCCCGTCGCGCTCCCCGGCCGCGCCGCGGCTGTGCTGCAGCATGTGCTCCATGAGGTGCTCCTTCTTCTTGAAGTAGATGCTGCACTCGATGCACGTGTAGACGCTGGGGTCCTCCTCCGCGCCYGCCGCCGCCKCCTCCTCCTCCTCCTTGGCCGGCTCCTCCAGGAGGACGCCGCACACGTAGGGCCTCACCTCCACGCCGTAGGAGCTGCAGGGCGCCGGCTCCAGGCTCCCGGCGGGCACCCGCTCCACCGAGGCCTCCGCGTTCACCGTCCACGACTGGGTGCCCACGGCGAGCTCGGCGCCCAGCGGCAGCAGCGCCCACTCGGGCGGCCCCGGGGGGCTCCCGGCGGCGCCCGGCGGCGCCTTCCGCCGTGCGCCCACGCTCTCCAGGGATTTGGCCTTGCCCAGGGCGCCCTTGAGGCTCTTCCGGAACACCGGGGAGGTCAACGGAGGAGGAGGAGGAGGAGGCACTTCGCGCACGGGCTGGCTCCGCGAGGACAAGCCGGCCGCTCCATCCGTCGACTTGCTCCTGTCTTTGTAGTGAGGCCCRGGGCTCTCGGGAGGCCGGGCCACCCACTCGAGCCTCGGGCTCGCCCTCTGGCCCGTCCTCTTGCCCTTCTCTAAGTGCTCTTTGCCGCGGCCCTCGGCTTGCTTCGGTTGGTCGCGCCGGCGCTCCGGCCTGCCGGCCTCCRCATCCTCGGCATCGCTGCGCGCCGCCTCCAGGTCGGCCTGGGCCTCCGCGGCGGAGGCCGCCTCCTTGGCGCAGCGGCCGCTCTCCAAAGTGCTTCGCCCTCTGCCGGCGCCCGCTCCCGCCTCCGAGGGATCCCAGGTGCCGCCGGAGACGGTCATGGTGCGGAGGGCTACGGAGCTCCGGGCGTCCGCCCCGTACGGGGCCTCCTGGAGGTCCGCGGGCTCTTCAGGAGTGGAGCTGCAAGCAAGTTGGGACAATCATTAGTTACTTAATAAGGGTGGGACGGTCGTTAAGAGGGTCGTAAAGAAGTGATTTCCCAAAAAAATCCCCTGCTGGATCCAAAGAGGAAAAATTCCGGATAAACGGAGCCCAAGGAGCAACCCCAGCCCTTCCCATCCTGCCTTGGTCACRTCCAGCTCCTCACCTTCTCCTGACCCTGTCTCAATGGTGGCTGTGGTTGCTCCCTGGGTTCCCATCCCAGATTCCTGGTTTGGGCCAAGGAATCATCTTCCCTTCGTTCCACCCCATTCCCTGCTTCTCCTCCCCTTTTCCTCCTGCTAACTCCATAGGATGCCACRAGTTTGGAGAGTCAAAAATCACTACATGGGGATGGTTGCTCCGAACGAGGACACTTGCTACTGGCAGGCCTAAGACCAAGCTACCGACGTCTTCCAAGCTGGCTAAAACCAGATCTAAAGCACCAACGTGGACCATAGCAAAGGTCTCCAGCATCAAAGGATGATGCAGGAAGGTCCACCATGAGTAAATGGAGGTCCCTAGGTGGTCACTCTCCACACCAAGAATGGGAAACGCTGCTCATAGTCTTCCTTTCTTCACCATGCACAGACCCCAAACCCTATGGAGCACACGGGCCTGAGGTCCTCCCTGTCCTCCTCCCTGTCCTCCTCCAGACCTTCTCCATGGACCCTAGACCTGATCAGGTCCTATCCTGTAGCTGAACAACAAGTACCTCCATGGGACAAGCTCCACAGTGGAGCTCCACGCCACCCACAACACGTGGAGAGGGTCCCTGTGGGCCCCACGGCGCCAAGATGAGTTTGGTGGGCACCAAGATGAGTTAGAAAGGGGGTGAATGTGCCCAGGAGCAACCCAGCCTTTGCTCCAAAGGACCTACGGTGGTTGGGCTGGGAGACTTTCTCTTGGAGGCAAGGGGAGAGCTTCAAGGCCAAGAGGATGCAGCAAAGGCACTTGATGCTCTCCAAGACGCTCTAAGAGTTTGGAGACATCTGCATAGGACCAGCAGCTGCGACAAGACCTACGAGAGCACCAAGACCTTCTGCAGRGCTGGTAGGAGGCCACGCAGGAAACCGAGCGCCTTGACTGGCACCAGGTGGCCACACTGAGGCTTCTGAAACACCCTCCAAGAGATGCAGATGACTGCAGAGCAGTCAGGACTTGAACTTGAGTCCAAGTCCTCCCTACAGGCGATTCCAGGCCCAGTTGGGCCCTTCCCGCTCTCCGCGACGCTACCTGCCCTGCCAGGATGACCGGAGGCCGATAGAGCGGAGGACCCAGCACCAACAGGGCCCCGTGAGACTCATGGGACAGGGAGGTCTCCATGGGAGAAGGACGTGGCCTCCAGCAGGACCTTCAGGCACCAGGGCCGAGCAGATGCAGAGCAGGACGAGACTCTTCCACRCGCCCAGCCCTACCCGAGGACACAACCCAACCTCTGGCCTCCACGGCCAACTCCACAGCCTCTCCTAAGCAACACGCACAGCCCAACCAGGTGGACACCGCTCGCTTTGGCTGCGGAACGCCCCATCCCGGGATAATCCATTTTGGGGGTGAATGTTGGGATTTTGGGGGTGTTTTGGGGTTTTTTTTTAAGCATCTGAAGGGAAGAGCAGCTCCGGCTCCGGGCCGGATCCTGGCAACTTACCCGAGGAGTTCGGTCCTGCGAGCCGCGCCGGGGACAGCGCCGGAGAGGGCAGGCTCAGGCTCATCTGCAACAAGAGAGGAGAGCTTCAAGGTCAGCGCCCAAAGCGAGGCCTCCTGGAGCGCAAATTTTTATCGTAATTATGGGATTTGCCATTATTAAAAAAAAAAAAAAAAAAAAAGCTTTCCCAGCAGATAAACCGCCCCCCTCCCGCTCCGGCCTTCCCTCCTGCAGCTGGGTCCGGATTAGGGGAGGATTTCCGAGCCGCGCTTAAAGAGGGTTTAATCCCGCCCGCGACTCTCGGATGGATAATCGCGGCCACGGCGGCTAAGAGGTTTAAGGGAGAGATGCCCCAACGTGGCCGGGAGCCGTGGTTGGTTCGGGCCACCTCGTGAAGGAGAGCGGGTGCCGGGTCCTCAGGTTGGACCACGAAGGTGCTGGTGGCTTCGTCTGGATGCCAGGAGCTCAGAGGTTCCCTCACCACCAGGATGGCTCCTGGGCGAAGGTAACTATGTCTGAAGGTGAGGAGCAAGACAGGGTRGCGTTGTGGTTGGTGAAGATGGGTGGGCAAGTCCCCTCTGGGCTCCTCCAAAGCCCATCTGTGGTTCGACCAAGCTAGACRCATCCAACGTAGGAGGGAGGGGAGGTTGGGGCTCCACCTGGATGTCAGCGATGAGGACGTGGGAATCCAACCCACGGATTTCCATGAGCCACCAGGAGGCCCCAGGTCAAGCTCAGGATGGGATGCTTGAGGCCTTGCTCCTCATGGCTTGGTCATTGCTCCCTGTCGCATGGAGCCATCCGTGTGGATGGAAAAAAAACAAGGACTCGCTCGTTGTCTCCAATGAGGGCAGGAGCTTGGGGACATTGAGGCGTAGACGGACACCAAGGGAGAAAGCAGCAGGATGGGACCATCACCTGCTCCGTAAATGATGCCCCAGCATCATCTTGGGGTCATGAGGTGTCCCACGACCACCCAGGGCTCACCTTGGAGCCAAGGGGACAAGCTTTGCTGGAACAGAGCCCTAGGAGCTCCTGTGGGCCAAACTGCCCATCCTTGACCTCCATCAGACCTTATTGTCCTCTCCCCGCTGGATGCATCTGCTCAGAGGTCATGGTTGTTTTGGGGGCTGATGGTTCTGGGCCATAAAACCCCAACAACGGAGCATGGTGGCCTGAGCAGCACGGGGTTCATGGCACCGTATCGGTCATGAAGACAAGGGAAGCAAGGCAGGACCTGGCCCACAAGGAGGAACATGAAAAGCAGGGCTTGGCTTTCAGCCCTTGCAATATTTGGGGTTCCAGGCACATTTAAGGAGAGACTTTTCCAGCTGAGCATCTCCAAGTTGGAGGTTGCATCCCCAGATGCGATTCCCAGGTGGATTTTGGGCTCTTTTGGTAGGCACGGAGCTGGAACAGGACAGAGCTCCACGGCCACCAGAACCTCATCAGAATGTGGTCTGGAGGCTGCATCAGAAAGAGCCTTCCTGGTTCTTCTTGGCCTCAAAGGCACCTTGGAAAAGCCCAGGGAGCTACGGGGCCAACCGGTGGAGGTCACGCTAGAAAGGGCCACGTTCCTCCAGGAAAGCCTGAGTCACCACGGAGCAGCCCTGCCAGGGGGAAGGGCCGGGAGCCGCGGCCTGCAAAAAAAGCCACGTTTCCCAACGCAACGGATTTGAAATCCTTCCAAAAAATAAGAAAATTAAAAAAAAAAATTAAATGGAGCAGCGGGAAGAGGGACAAGGGAGGAAGGAGGGGACACATCGGGGAGAAAAGGACGGCGACGGGTGCCTTCCAGGAGTGCTTTTGTTCTCTGGAGAGCTCCAGCATGGCTCCTATTTTTAGCAACTGTCTCCTTTAGAGGAAAACAGGCCGTGATTTATCTGCGTCCCGACGAGCGCGTCACGGCGCTCCCTGCAAACGCCGGTTTCTTGGAAACCGGGAGCGAGGAGGGAGCTGGACGCGACTTCACCCTGGATGGGGAGCCAGCAAGGATTGCTGCTCTTCACCCCAGGAGCGGGGAGGAAGCTTCTCCCGAGGGAGACCAGCACCACCAATTGGGTTTGGAGGTCCTGGTCTCACCAACACCTAAAATACTCCTTGTCCCCTCTCCCATTTTCCCTCCTGTGTCCCAAGAGTTAAAGGAAACCGGACGGGACACCAAGAGGCTTTCAAAAAGATAGGGAGATGTCACATGAGCTCGTGAGGAAAACACACAGTGAGCTCCAAGATAAGGGAGAGCTCTTGGGTTTTCCAAACCCTTGGGTTTCCGAGGCCRGGAATCCTCCTGGATGAGGCCAACTCACTCTAGAGGTGGTTGGTGACTCACACGATGCCTTTCAAAGGTCAATGAGTGAGGAACGTCTCCAGAAGAGCTCCGGCTCGCTACGGTTGTCACGGCTGGTAAGTGGACTAACAGCAGGTCCAAGAGGCACCGCCGCCTTTCCCGGCGCAAGGATTTGGTCTAACCCTTCACAACCAGCCAGGGAAGGACCAGGATGGATGGACACACGCCCCCTTCCACCCCTCAACTCAACTGGGTCAACTTTGCAACGGAGCACGCCAAGCAAGAGAAGGGGCATCCGCCAGTCAACRAATCCACGCACAAAATCTTTGGGAGCAATCCCAAGCGACTTCAAAAAATCCCTCCCGATCTCAACAGGGACAATGGGGCCACGYGCTTGGAAGAGCTTGGAGAAACATCTCGATGCTTCAGCTCTTGCATGGGGATGCAGCAAGCAGAGACACCCCCTCCGGATACGGGTCCCGATTATCTCCCAGCGCAACTYGAGGGAGTTCCTCTTTTTCCGAAACATAAAAGCCGCTGCTCTTCCGCGCAGCAGATGCTTCCTATGCAGAGGGTCCCTGTTGASGCTCTCCAAAAGGTATTTTAGGACTAACGGCCACGCTATGACATGACAAACGGTAACCGGGAGGTCGCAGAGCCACCGATACGTTGGAACGAGTCCATGGAAGCCCACCAGGAGGGTTGGGGGTGGAGGGCACAGGGYATGAAGGCAAGGGAACCGTCAAGACAACAGCTATGGATGGGGGACACGTAGAGAAAACGGAGCTGAGCTCCCCTTGAAGACACGCAACARGGGAACGAGACAAGTGACAACAAGTTCCTCACTAAAGGGGAACAGGCCACGGATGGCAGAGATCTCCATYCCTGGAGATCCTCCAAGCTCAATCGAACGAGCCTTAAGCAGCTCAGCCTAAGTGGAAAATTGGTTGTGCTCTGAGCACGGGCTGAAGACCTCAGGAGGCCCCTTCCAACCTCTGCTATTYGAGAATTTAACACACAAATCCAAGAGTCTTTAGCAAAAAGCAGGTTTTAGACGGGGGTGGTAACCATCACGCCCCACGGCCAGCTAGCAACAGGGAGAAGACCTCTTTTCTGGAAAGTTTGACCAGTTTTCTGAGGAGTTTGACCAAAAAAAAACAAAGATAAAGGAACTCTAAAACATATTCTTAATCTCTTGAACATCAAAGGCTCTTCAACTGAGTAAAATCTGTCCCTTAAATATAACGGATGGTCTCCTTTACACCCGCTTCCATGAACACCAACGCTGGAGGACGCCTACCTGACCTCCACGGGTCTTCTCATGTCCAGCTCCTAAGTTAGGCACACGGGGTGGGAGATGCGGCCCCAACTTCAGCTCTCCAACGGACCCTGRACCTACACGAGGCAACTGGGTCGCAGGCACCGGTGGGAAAACCAACACTGCCCAAGGACGCTGACACCCAGATGAGCGAAACGGCCTCTTCCAAATGGTCAAGACTGGGTTTAGGCCCCAACCAACCTCTTCAGAAATCAAAATTTAGGTAGGATTCGTCTACGGAGGAGCATTTCCAACACCATTTTGCTTCCAAGAGCCTTCTCCAAACCAACCGATGCTCTCCTAAAAGCCCATCCCGAGGCTCCCCGTGCTCCCCAAGGTGTCAGCTTTTCCCAGCTGCCCAACACGGATGGGAGAACAAGACAAGAACCTCCTTTGAGCTCCTCCACAACCAGGCACCACCATCCGAGCACCGTTATTAGGCGAGGGTTGAGTTATTGCATCAGCTTCCGAGTCAYGGGAGATGTCGCAAGGGCCCGATGGAGCTCTGGAATTAAAGCCCAGCTCTGAGTCGAGGCTAATTCTTTAATCTCGAGGGTTTAATTCGAGAGCAAAGAGGTCCCAGCAGGTTTGCTCATGGGTGCTGGCACCTGCTGCTCCTTCTGCGCCCCAAATACCTCGGGGGAAAAAGAAACCACTTGGGTTTCTGGGATGGGATCCCATGGGACCCAAAAAAGTGGAGGACCATCGTGATCCCGCAAAGGGATCAATGGCCTCGGCTCTTCCCTCTCCGAAGGGGCCGGCGATGCCGGGGAAGACCCACGGCGAGCGTTGCGAAACGCCACGGCGCCCCGCAGAAGAGGAACCGGAGGTTGGGAGAGCCCCGGCGGCAGCCGCACAGCCCAACGTCCCCCGGTGCCACCGAGAGGCTCCGGAAGGCAGCTCAGAGCTGCTCGGGTGGCCCCAATTTGAGTCCTCGGGTGCTATTTCTGCCTCAGGTCCTCCCAAAAGCACCAGAGAAGACGCTACTGCTCCCAACTGTGTTCCTGCAGCAGAAGACATCTCCATCACGGCCTCCTCCAAGCATCCGAGCCCCCAAATGTCCCAGCCTCTTCCCAGAGCTTGGACAAGGCCACCGCTCTCTCCTTTGCCAGGGTTTCCTGGATCTTTCTTTTTGCCAGGGTTTCCTGGATCTGATCTTTCACTCACGCTACCGAATACGGATGAGGAGCTGGTCCCACCACCGGAGATGAGAACTTCACAGTGTCTCCTCAACGCAAAAAGGCTGGTGGACCTTCATCTGCAAGCTGAGCATGTCTCCCAATGTTTGTAGAAGGTGACGGGCCATAATTTGGTCTCCTTCATGCCAGGAGAAGGTCAGGGCTACATTCAAGGGCACTCCTAAGCCTGCAGACAGGTTGACCTTGAGGCCAAGCAGAGCGGGTCAACGTGGAGACACCAAAGACCAGAGGGAGCAACGTGGGTCCCTCAGCACCTTCTAGTT